AAGCTTGGTGTCACATCTGTTTGTCTCCATGGAAACAAGTTTAATACCAAACCATTTCGAGGCAAACCAATAACACAGAGGGAAGCAAGTGTCAGACTAGCCACAAGAAAAGTGACCTAGAGCTTCTTTTATTATTTGTATCATATTATTATTATCTTATGAGAAGCATTTTTGTTAATGAATAATTTATGGCTTATTTGAGGCGCAGTTTATGCATTGAACATGGACTTTTCAGGACAGCCTTAAACCAGAACAAGATCAGCTTTAACCGTGACTTTAATATGATTTACTATTTGAACACTAAGCATTTTCATTTCATTCACTACCATAGTTTGTTTCGCTCTTCGCTGTCCTCGCAACAGTAAAGGTCACAACCTCTCACACATCGACACAGATGAAGTTGACTCATACAAATGCGTTATTTCCGCTCAGTGTTTTCAGACCTCTCCCGGATAAATACGCTTGTGTTTTGTGCATTGATTTTTGCTCCTGTTCTTTTTGTGCTCATTGATTTCCTCTGCCCGACCGCGCACATGTATTCATTAATGTTACTGTAAGATAGTGCTGCCCAATTATGGAAAAACATCAGTTGTTTAGAAAAGCTATGATTATTTATGACTGTCAGTTCTTCCTGCACGTGTACAACTTCTGAATGTATAGAAATAAGCACATAATATTATCATAATTAATGTAAGATTAATGTTTTAGACAAGTGACTATAATATCCTATGACAAACTTCCCTACGGGGACAAGAAAGCGTACCTTAAAGAGGGTATATTGCACATTTTTAAAAGAAATAAAAGTAACACAGCGATCTAAATATATTTTATGTTAGCAGTTAATACCCATTAGAAGTGTTATTCCCCCTCTTTAATCTTATCTTTAACCTTTTGCAATTTAACATCTAATTAAAGTCCTCTCCTTTAACGGCGTTTGAGTCACTCCGAGTCATCGTTGCTGCTCAGTCACCGTTCTGTCCTGTTTCTCAACGATCTCAGTGAAAAGGTCATTAAAACTGAAGCTTTTCTGCACAATGTAGGGACACTTATAAACCACGGAAAGAATATTATTTTGTTAATTTAATTCTGGTTACTGTTTGGTCTCAAATTGTGTATTTTTCACGTTCAAAGGCTCGTATTACATGTTGTAATGTTTCCTCATCAAAAACAGACCTGGAGTTGTGTTTTGTTTCATTCACACAAACTCTGCATATTTAGGCTGAGTTCTCGTAGCTGTTAACTTGAAAACTACCACTACATGACATCACAAGGTGGCCTAGAGCATTTTTGAGCTTTGGAGATGTAAACAGACTAATAATCCAGGGTTATTCAAACATCTGTGAATGAAACAAAATGCAAATCCAGGTCTGATTTTGATGATGTAACAACATTCTAACATGGTTTACTAGACCAAATTTTGTATAATATAGGACCTTTTAAAGTAGACTTATGATGCAAAATTGCCTTTTTGCAGCTTTTAACTTATAACGTTATAGTTGTTTACCCTTTTCAGTTACCCTCTTGAAGTTGTATGGAGTAAGAAAGCTTTCAGAAATCTTCGTGTGCATAGGATAGAAATCTGTAGCCAGGCTCACGCCACCTAGTGCCTCCGCTTAATTTCATTTCTCTCCAGCGACTAGGTCAGGAATCAGGATACACTAGACGGTTTGCAAGAACCCCGGATGTTGTAGACCAGTCAGTGAAGATCTGTGAAGCCATGACGTCAAACTCAAGCGCCTGTCTGGGTCCCTTTTGTGGTACAGCACAACAATAAACAAAGCGGTCGAGATGTAGATTAAGACAGACATTCTGTGTTGGCAACGATTCCTGAGGTCGAAGGATTTAAAGCCGGAACAAAGAGAATGTTTGGTGAATTTTATCAAGGGAAAAACGTTATTGCCCTTCTTTATATGGCCAAATAGCAGCAATTGGTTTAAAATTAAAAGTACCCACCTACAGTCGAGCGAATGAATCCTAATCAGATGGTTTTCAACAAGTGAAACCGGCTAATGCATATTTGACTGTAGTTGATACTCGTAATACTCACAAACTCTTAAATCTGTATGCGGCGCAAAAATCCGGCATTTCGTTTGATATTTCTTCTGCTCAGTAATAGTTTGTGAAGTGATGACGTGTTTTTGACAGTAAAGTCGTGTCTGTGACTTCGTTTTCGTACTGAAGAAAGCATAATCGTGAATTTTCATTTCTTGATTGTAATTCTTGACGTCATAACTTTTCAATTTGTATTCTGATGGATAAAATACACTCAAAACATTTTATGAATGACTGGACTCATTCGAGAGTTTATGAATATTTATTTTATGCTCAACTACAGCCAAATATGTACAGATTTCTATCCTATTCACACAAAAAGTTCTGAAAGCTTTCTTACTCCATAAAGTTGTATTTAGAGCGATTTGTGCATGTTTGATGAAGTCACAGAGTCGCTTTTGTACAAATGAAAAATAATCTGCTAGCGTGACGTGCCGATGTCCGTAGGAGGAGCCGACAGCTGCACAGCGCTTCACATTCACAGAAACGGCGCCATAGGACACCACAGTTTTCTAACAATGAAGCTGGCAGAGTTGTTTCTTCTATTAAATGGTTTTAGATATAGATTGTGATTTTAAATGTCTAAATTATGATGTTTATAATGATCCACGGGTGTCAAAGATAATGACACAAATGCAGTTGATCTTTAATAAGTTGTAAATGGCACGATTTGGTCTTATAAACTATTCACCTTTTTTAGTAAACTGTTTTTCTTGTTTTTCAGTGGACGCCATACAGTGGAACATTCTAGAGAAAGCAATATCATCAAAGTTATCTAGTGCATCTTTAACAACAGCTACTAAGAACAGGAGCACTCATGCATTTGTCATAACTTAAAATAAGTTTCTGTTCACGTCTTTAGCTCTGCACGGCTCTATTTGAATTATACATTGTTGTGTTAAATTTTGATGCAGTTTTGCCAGTGTCAGCTTCAATAATGCAGCGTCTTTCAACTTTTTATGAGGAACTTACTGCACAATTTTTTAGCTGAAAAGATTGTGCAGTAAAAACATGACCAAATGAGACTGTTTTGAAAGAAAACTGTGGGGTGGATATTATGTTTCATTGGGTCTGGTTCTTGGTTTTGCTTTCCCGGTTTAGAATTTTGTTCAGACGCTCTGAATTAGTAAATTGTTAAATTACATGCTTGCTCGAATCCATTAATCCATCCACATTTTTTAAGGCTCTCCTGGTAAAGATGCACAGTTTTGAAAAGCAAGCAAGCATTTTTTCTCACAAGCAGCGTTGGTCAGATTATTTTGTTAAAATCAGTAATCAGTAGTAGTCATCTAATTGCTACTCTGATAACTTAATTTAAAAAGAAAACCTACAGCTCAGGAAACAACAAGCATCATTTCTTGACACTTTCTCTTCTAAAACCACATTTAGCTCAGAGACGACACGTACAGTCCTCCATAAACCACTCTGTGTATTGTTTTGGTTCACAGCTGATATGTGTCTGACACCACAAGGTTACATCCTGTCTTACCTGTGTTGTTTTTTTGTGCTGTTTTACGACACAGTTACAAGAGCAAGTAACTATAATCCAGTTACTCAGTTTAGATTTTTTTCTACAGTAAACCCTTAGTTTGTAAATACTTAATTGTCCAACATTAGTGACTTGTATTGTGACTTATGTGCTTAGATTTGTGATAAATGTTTAAAAAGTGTGATTCTGTTCAGAGTTGGGCTGCGTATCACTCAGAAGTTGCCGATACGATACATACCTCGATACATAGGCCATGATACGTTACATACCATATTTTCCGGGCTATTAGACGCGCTCTTAAGCCACCAACCCCATCAAATAACGACTGCGTGCCACACAATTCAGAGCGCCCTATACTCGAATCCACTCGGGCGTCCCAGCACGACTTCAGTAAACTACAAAGCCGCACCACACACACGGAGCAGAGAGCGACCGCACAGCGAAAAACACCCTCAGCCACACTCATCACTCCACGCCAAGGAGGAACGGAACAGAGGAACGAACCAAAAAAGCGAGTACAATGTGCCACTTCTAGACACAACTGAACAACTGAGTCACTGCGAACACACGCCGACAATCCAGCGGTCCCAGACAGCACCCTCCCTACACGCCACAACTGAACAAAGCCCAGAGTCACCGTGAACAAACAAACAAAGTCCCACTGACCCATCCAACTGTTGTGTTTCGTTTAAAGTCCGGTGCGGTTTATTTGTGAAAAAAGTTTGAAAATAGACCATTTAATGACAGTGCATCTTATAACCCAGAGCGCCTAATAGCCCGGAAAATACGTTATCTTGATACAGTGAGATTACTATTCGATACGGTTCAATAAAAAATAAAGGCTAAATCATGGCTGCGATGCTAAAGTCTTTGTTAAACCACTTCTTGTGCAAAGTTAATATAAAACATGCCCATTTTAATCATCAAAACAGTGAAATTGTCAAAAGTGTTGCATAAATGAGTTTCCTTCCACTAAACGGGCACGAAAACTGTAGCGCTTCAACAAAATAATTTAGTAAAATACACCAAAAAATAGTCTTGGCAATATATCGATACTGTTTCATTACATTAAACAATACAATATATCGATATTTCCATATTTTTGCACACCCCTAGTTCAGAATGCGCTTTGTAAACAACTCCAGGAGCACGAAACCTTTGAGAGAAGACTGAAGTTTGAACTGTTAAACCAATACAAGAATCTCATGCATTTCAGAACATGTTTGTAGAGCTCCAAACTACAGCTTTCTATAAAAGACAGGATATTTTCTTCTTTGCAGGGAACATTCGAATATCTAATTTTGGCCTTTGCAATTTGAAAACTGTGCCAGCCCAAATTGTGATTGCGCACACACTGGCACACTGGTTGAAATAAAGACAATCATGTACGTTTTCCCTGTTCCCCTGTTCTGGTTTCCTTGACGTTTTCCCTAATGTTTTCCTTGTGTTTTGCTTGTAGTTACCAGAGGCTGCTGCAGACCATCGGGGTCCTGGAGGCTCAGAGGACTCAGGCCATTGTGGACCTGGAGACTCTGTCCAGACACCAGAGAGACGCACTGCACGACCCCATCAGCTTTGTGGAGCAGCTGCAAAAACAGGTGTGACAAATGTACAAACACGCTCTCAAGCAAGGTCATCTTGAGCAGAGATGCGCACAAATACAGTTTGTGTTTGGACTGTGTCGTGTTTGTTTAATGATATCATCGCATCTGTAGGCCTGTAGTGTTGTACTCTGTGTGGTGGCAGAGTGGTTAGCCCTCTTTTCTCACACCTGGAAGCTTGCATTTTCTCTCTGGTTGAATCTGAATGTTTTTTTTTTTACACAGTGCACTATTTTATTTCACCATTTTGTAGTTATCTGTGAGTAACATTCTTTGTGTCCTGTGTCGAAGGTGAATCTTGGCCTCCCGTGCCCGCAGAGGGTGGTGCAGCTGCCGGATATCTCGTGGGAACAGTACACTTCAGGTTTAGGAGATTTTGAGAGAGAGTTCTGTGACAAGAAACGAAAAACCAGAAGACTCAAGCTAATATTTGACAAAGGTAAAAACAATAGTCATTTCCCCTTATTCATTTTTTATTTATTAAGAGTTTGAAGGCATCTACCATATTTTTCGGACTATAAGTTGCTCTGGAGTATAAGTCGCACCAGCCAAAAAATGTGTAATAAAGAAGAAAAAAACATACATAAGTCACACCGGACTATAAGTCGCACTTAAAATGAGAGACCAGGATCCGACATTTCATCTTGAAAGTCAAGTTGTAGTAATAACAACAGAACAGAGAACAACAGACTGTTAACGTCACATATGAACAGTTCTTCAGATAAACTATAACATAAACAACAGAACAGAACAAGTTTACCAAACTCTCCATCTCACTCCAGATCACTAAATCTATTGAATTCTTCATCCTCGGTGTCACTTCTGAGCAACTCCGTGACCTCCAGAAATAAACGGAGCGCCACTTCCTCTTCTGTGTAGCTGTCGTCAGACTCAGCATCAGTTCCAGTTAGAATTATTCCGGCCTTTCTGAATCCTGACAGGATGGTTTCGGTGTCACTGAAGTCCAGGTTTTGTCGATCCATCCAGTGATTTCCAGGAAAGTTTTATGGCACACAGTCCTGGTTGTCACAAGTTTCTCGCTCATGCCAAACTTTCTTTCTGCTTCTCGATTACCCTTTTTGCTACTTATATCTTGTAACCTGCAAAATATTTTTCTTTATGGGGGCATTTGTGTTCAGTCTTCCCAGTCATCTCTGTAAGTTTGTTTGAATTTTAAATTGTCAGTGGTTCAGAAGTTATGGTGCGATTGACTGACATGATACAGACAGGACAGAGGCTCTTTCTGCAGGAGACATGTGCAGTAGAGCCAAGTGACAGTGGTACAGGAGGAACAGGAGCGGCAGAGTGTGAAAATTTTAATATTTAAGTCGCAGGAAACACCCAAACCATGAAAAAAGTACCACTAATAGTCCGAAAAATATGGTACACGGTTCTCTTCCAATTTGTCATTATATTGAACCCATAGACTGTATAAAGAAGTGGACAAAGGGAGTGTGACGTCACCCATAGCGTTTGGCTCCAGTCAAATGAAGCTCATCGACGATGGCAGCTATATAATTTGGAGCTCCATATTAGGAATAGGAATTGATTTATGGACAAAATGGCAAAATGAAAACACCAGGATCATGCAGAGCGGGTTAATACAAACATTTTAAGAGTAAAATGACGAGGCTCACTGCAGCAGTTGCAGCAGTAGAGAGAGGTGACAATTATTCAATGTAAAGTGAATTGGAGTCAATGGAGCCAGAAGTGCAACCATAAACCTAATAAATATCGAAATGAAAGTCAGTCAACAAAATCTATAAAATTGTCTGTTAACCTGAAAGCAGTGGCACTCTTCATTCAAGCAGTCTCTAACTTTCTCCTCTTTTCAGGTTTACCTCTACGCCCCAAAAGTCCCGTTGAGCCCAAAAAAGAGGGCGAGTGCTCCAGCATGTATTCATCCTTACCCACGAGTGACGGTCCAGAGAACAGCAGGCAGACTCAGGTATGATTGCAAATGAGATAAGACTTTGGTAAAAGCTGTAAAATGTGATCCTACTGGTAAAACTGAACCTTGTAATATCTTAAAGACACTTAGAATTGGCTTTTATTACACTCAAAGCAGCTCAAAGTATTCATCTCGTTCTACTTTCTGATTAGTAACCGATCTTACATTTTACTTTCTGTGGCAATATGTGACAAAACCGTGCATTACCTTATTGCACGCCCTAATCAAATACAACGCATATTCTCCTCCAAGACCAAACTAGCCTCTATTGTCATGACATTATTTCTGACGGTTACGCCTGAGTCACCAATCTTCTGCTGTCAGCCGCTCAAATAATCAGCTCGTTATCTCCTCCATCTTTATCTCTGTCTTTCTCTTTCTCTGTCCTCACTTCAACAGTAAACGGCGCTAAGGGTATCTATAAAAACACGGGTAACGAATTCAAGATGTGCAGAATGTTGTTCAAATTTGCATTTACATTACTTGGATGAATTTCACGTTAATTGATTTTGAATAAATTTAACTCAATTTCAGTTCAGAAATATGTGTGGACCTGAAATATCACCTCTGTTCAGGGAGTGAAAAATGCGATTTCTTACAGAGAGAAAAAAAAAAAGTAAAAGAAACCAGAGAAGAACAATAGCCCTCGCCAGTTGCCAGTGGCTCGGGTCAATAAATAGATAACATTAGCCATATGTATTAGTAATATTTATACATCCTGTACATACAGATTAACGCTCTTGCTGGCCAACCGTGAAAAATTCCCCATGTCTGTAATATTTTTTTTTTGCTTGTAATCATGCATAGAATTGAATCCCCAAATTTGGTACAAATCTGATAATGTTGATGTTTCATGTCTATGGTAGGGGGCGCCATAGTGTTCAATTGCATTAGACGTCATAGTTCATTAGATTCAGGCAATTGTGAATTGAAATGAATTCTCTAGACCAGGGGTGTCAAACTCAAATTCAAAAACTGGGCCAAACTAAATATTTATTGAAAAATTTCAGCAACATCTGCATGTTTTGTCTTCTTTCGAGATGTGTAATGTTAAACCTTTTCTTTAGTAAAATAAATGTTTAATAATAGTTTTGCTTAAACACTGAATCCAGAACAAGCAAAATATAAAATAACTAGAAAAGCACTCAGAGAGCGCAGACCTCCGCCAAGGACTACCCCCATTTTTTTATATAAACTGCGATAAAATCAGTCTTCTGGATCAGATCCGGATCAGCCTTTGGAATATGAAAGAGGATCCCATTGTCCATCCCTGAGTCAAATTTCATGGGGTTTGGTCAATAATTAACCGAGATATTGAGAAACAACAATTTTTTGGCCCCATTTACCACAATGTTAACTAAAATTTCAAAGTGATCCAGAATCCAGGATTTCTTCCGGATCACCCCCAAAATGAAATCAGTTCTTCCTTTTCACATTTCCAACAAATCCTGAAAATTTCATCAAAATCGGTCCATAACTTTTTGAGTTATGTTGCTAACAGACAAACAAACAAACAGACAAACGCCGGCAAAAACATAACCTCCTTGGTGGAGGTAATAACAACATTTTAAATAAATAATCTCCTCCATCTTTAGAGATAATAAATAATACTTCCTCCCACTCCTTTTTCGGACACAAGGAAAATTCTGCGTAACATTTATTTTGCCTGTTATTATAGAATAGAAATAGTTACTTTTTGTGTTATATCTATGTATTTACGTTTTTGTCTTTTCTTTTATTATTTAGTTTTTTGTTTTTGTTTTTAATTTATGTTCTATGTATTACTGTCCGAAATAAATAAACATAATAATAATAATAATAATAAATAAACATAATAATAATGTCTCTTTAGTCGATCTGTAGCTCTAATACATGTTTGATATGATCTCGCAGGCCAAATATAATTATATCACGGGCCAAATTTGGGCCCCGTGCCTGAGTTTGACATGCCTGCTCTAAACCAATGCCTGTGGCTGTGAGAAGTCATTAAAGAAACAGAAAATGAAGGTGTTTTTCACTGGCGCGTTATGTGCAAACTGTAAAGAATATCTCAAAAAAACTGATACTTTTTGTGAACCCGTGTGTCTAGGTGTGACGTTACAAATCTGAGCTCATTTGGACCAAAAACCAGCAACTAGTACAAACACACAGTCAAAATGGTAGCGAATTTTTCATCCAGTATGACCGACTTCCTGTTCATCACAGAGCCATGCTTCAATTCACCTTTTGGCTTGTCTTGTTGTTCGTTATCACAGTTCTCAATTTCGTTTACCTATGGCAAACTTTGCTTGTCCCCGCTCCCATAGGGGTCCACTTCTAGACGGCGCTGTTCATTCATTGAGTCATTTTCTTGCGAAGTTGTTACGAATGAACGTTTTATCAAATTTTTCACCGAGCTGGTCAATCTCATGCCAGGTTTGTGGACTTTTCGTCGACGTTTAGGCTCAAAATCGCAACCATTTGTGAGGAAAAATAATAATAGACAAGATGAAACAGGCGAAGAAGAATAGCCCTTGTCAATTACTGGCTGGCAATTCTAACATAGATCAGAAAATAGCGTAATAGGCTCTTGAAGCTGGTTATATATTAAAAAGTACATTTGTATTCCTCAGACACTTGTATCTATCCTAATGCTGAATGCTCTTGCCTCTTGTCCCGATTGACAGCCGTGTATTTCAGTGTCAGTCTGATGGAGATGGGCTGACGGCAGCTCATGTGAAGTGACGCTATTATAAAGTCGTCATTCAAACGTCGCAGCCATTTTTTAAATTTCAGTCCTGCTATTTAAACATGTTTATTTCTTCACATTAACGTACATTTTGAAACCTGACTGACTGAGTGTGTGATTTGTGCTCCACAGATGATCAGGGGGAGAATCTGTCACCCAAATAAACCTGATACGTTTAACCAGCTCTGGACCGTGGAGGAGCAGGTACAAAGCTCTGTTTGAATCTTATGTTTTTAAAGTTATGGCTATTACATCTGGTTTGACCTTTTGGGTCCGTCCACTTGGCCCCGTCTCTCTCTCTGTTTTTGAACCATGTAGGGTTGTCAAAAGTATCTAAAATCACATACTAAACAATACTAAAACTAGTATTGAAACTAGATACACATTTGAGCTGGTATCAAAGCGCTTTGAGTGCCTTGAAGGTGGAAAAGCGCTATAGAAAAATGTGACCATTTATACTAAAAAGTCACACACAGAAATGACCGTTTCCTGTATAGCTTTAGAATGATCTTAAGCGATATTAGAAGAGAACATCAGAGTCCTGCACCGGGTCGGTACCTGCAAATAGTTGCTGAAATGGGTTTGTTTTAACGTGCTGGAATTTTACGGGCGGGTATGCGGGCGGGTCGTGTTTACACACAGTGAGGTGAAGCAAATGAACGACAAACGGGATAAAAATACTTGACACAAGTCCAGGACGTCCGTTGCCCTGGAAACGAGAGACATTTCCCGGTCTTTTCCTGGAACGATGGACCAGGCTGAGAGAGACGTGTTTTTATTACATAAAACCATCAGCGGAGGCGATGGGCTTGGCAGCTGTGCTGCTGGTTTAGTCCTGGTTTGGACCTGGTTTAGAACTGGTTTAGTCCTGGTTTAGACATGGTTTAGTCCTGGTTTGGACCTGGTTTAGAACTGGTTTATTCCTGGTTTAGAACTGGTTTAGTCCTGGTTTAGACCTGGGTTAGACTTGATTTAGTCCTGGTGTAGCTCTGGTTTAGACTTGATTTAGTCCTGGTGTAGCTCTGGTTTAGACCTGGTTTAGTTCTGGTGTAGTCCTGGTTTAGACCTGGTGTAATCCTGGCGATCAGTTCGGCGTTTGTGGCGTGATTATATTTATGCCAGTGACACTGGTTTAGTCCTGGTTTAGACCTGGTTCAGTCCAAACTTTTGATGGGGAGTGTTTATAACCTTTTCGTCCTTGTCCATCACAGAAGAAACTGGAGCAGCTCTTGATGAAGTTTCCCCCGGAGGAAGTGGAGTCCAGGAGGTGGCAGAAGATCGCGGACGAGCTCGGCAATCGCACAGCTAAACAGGCAAGGACAACAAACTGGAACTTTTTAAAACTTCTCCTCCACAAGATATACGGTTTTACCCCAAAAATGTGTCTTCGTTTTGGTTTTTGGTGGCTCAGTTATCCACAAATGTATTTTTATTACATCATTTTAATTTTGCAGGTTGCCAGCAGAGTCCAGAAGTATTTCATCAAACTGACAAAAGCCGGTATCCCAGTCCCCGGAAGAATCCCCAACCTCTGCATGTACACTAAGAAGGTATTATGACTTGATTTACTTTTTTTTTAAGCTTTCTACCATGTTATAATGTTGTTCCCTCATCAAAAACACACTTCAAGAGCTTTTAGATGTCGTCCATGTATGTTTGAGTAATTAAGCGATCTCTCCTGGGCCCTATTTGAACCCTCCTTATGGTTAACTGTACGATTTTGTGCAATTCTCTGCCCACAAGCCTACGTCACACATGCTCAAACACGCCAATTTTCCATAAATGCACAAAAACATGATGAAAACTGTACACAACAACTGTACAAACCTGAACGCGGAGAGCAAAAGGAAAGGTGACCCAGTGCATTTACATTATTAAAATGAAAAGGCTGCAATTATTTAGATGTCCTAGAATGTCCTCTGCAAAGAACAAAATACTCCATGTCAGTAGATTCAATGGAAGTTTTGGAAAAGTCATGGAATATTAGTGTCTCCTTCACGCAACTACAGCGTTCTGCTAAGTTATCATTAGGATATTATGATTATTTCCGAACGTCTTCGCCTTTAGTTTAAAAGAGACGACAATAAATGCACTGACAGTATTTTGAATGTTAAAAAACTATAATACCAAACCATAAGGTGAGTGGAAAGAGTTCACATTTCATATTTAGCCCTAAAAGTCTGATCAATTCTACACATGAAGGTGCCGTAAAGTCATGGAAAATTCATTTTAGGTCATGAAAAATTTTAGTCAGGAGGGGTCACCTAGTGCCTCCGCTCAATTTCATTTCTCTACAGCGACTAGGTCAGGAATCAGAATACACTAGACTGTTTGCAAGAACCTCGAAGTTGTAGACCGTGCACCGGCAAATCAGTGAAGAACTGTGAAGCCATGATGTCAAACTCAAGCACCTGTCTGGGTCCCTTTTTGTGGTTCAGCACAACAGTAAACAAAGTGGTCGAGATGGACGTAGACAAAGATAGACATTCTGTGTTGGCAACGATTCCTGAGATCGAGGATTTAAAGTTGGAACAAAGAGAATGTTTGGTGAATTTTATCAAAAGGAAAGACGTTATTGCCCTTCTTCCTACAGGATTTGGTGCATTACATACGTCACGACCAAATAGCAGCAATTGGTTAAATAAAAAAAGTACCCACCTACCGTCAAGCGAATGAATCCTTATGCTGCGAGGTCAGACGGTTTCCAAGAAGTGAAACCAGCTGCTGAATCAGGCTAGAAAAAGTAATGGAAAAGTTTTGAAATTTTGTCAGTGAAAAAGAGTGGGAACGATGTCATATTTTTACACCTGCGGTTTAGTAATTCAGTTTTCTCTTAAATGTTAATGCGTTTAAAGGAGTTAAAGTTGAAGGAGTTGTTTACAATGTGCAGCCTGAACAGAATCCTTTTTAAACATTGCAAATTTAATCTCAACCCACACCCAGATTTTTGTCCAGCCTTAATTCTTTCTGTTATCAAAATGTTGTATTTAACTGTAGTTATTTCATAATTTATCATTTAGGGTGGTCTAACTTTTACGCACATTCTTGGGGTAATGATGGCGTATCCATTTTTTTCTGTACCGGTACATTATTTCTAATTGTCCAACACTAAGACGTTTGACAGTTGGACACATTTTAGTAAGAGAAAAGTGCAAAGAATGCAACGATGCAATCCAAATCTAAATTCACTTTATTTCTATAGCACATTTTACAAACAAAGCAGTTTCCAAAGTGCTGCACAGAGATCATAAAACAAAGGCAACAAAAAAGGTAAACTGCTAAAATTTGGTCACACCAGTCCTAAAACAATAAAACCAGTAAAAGCAAAGCCATAAAAATCATAAAATAGTAGTAAATAAGTAACATAAATAAAAGGCACAGAGGACCACACAACTCACGCGGTGTTAAAAGTAAAAAGAGAATAAAAGTGGGTCTTAAGACGGGACTTAAAACACTCCACTGTAGGGGATTTTGGGTCGTGGGGGGGCAGAGCTTTGCAGAGTTTGGGTCCGGCCACAGAGAAGGTCCTGTCCCTGCAGGTTTTAAGTCTCATTTTAGGCACCACGAGCTCGAGCTGGCCCTCAGACCTCGAAACGCACACAGGGCACTAAATTCTTGTGAAGCCAGTCCATTCAAAGCTTTAAAAACAAACAATAAAATCTTAAAGTCAACTCTAAAACGAACAGGAAGCCAATACAATGAAGCTAAAACCTCGGTAATATGCTCACGTTTTTTAGTTAGAGTTAAAAGGCACGCAGCAGAATTTTGGACCAACTATAAGCGAGAAAAGTCCATTACCGTCATCTAAACAAGAGAAGATAAAAATCGTGCGTGACCTGTTTAAATGATTTAAAAGATTAAAAAGATTTAATTTAAGATAAAAGCCGCAAAGGATAAAAGCCAGATTTTACAACCGCATTCACGTATATTAAAAAACATTTCACAACAAGTCTTTCCGTAAAATAAATAGACTTGATTCATGTTGAAAGTGTGTCTAACTTGTAGTATTTTCTGCTCTTTACATTTGCTGTTCTCCAGGCGTCCACTAAGAGGCAGCACCACCTCAACAAACACCTGTACAGACCGTCGACCTTCATGACTTCATATGAGCCTCCGGTTTATATGGACGAAGAAGACGAGAGGGCGTCGTACTACGGCAGTGCCCAGGACCCGGCAGCGGAGGAGTCGGTCAGTCGTGATTTCACTAGAGTTTACTTTGATTTAAAAGTACTGTTTCTATTGATTTTTGCTAAAGAATACACACAGTTTGACAATGCCGTTCCCTTTCCCACCCATCCCAACACTCTCACTTACGAAAGAAAATTATAAATACATAAATACATACATTTTTAAAAATGCAGTAAAAACAACCTAAGATTCATAAAAGAATTTACTCCCACTTGAGGCATATTTTAAATTAAGTAACCGTACTCTAACTTCAGCAAAAGTTTCCTCTTCCCACTGTAAGTCTAAAATGACAAAAGCTTTATGTGACAATATGAAATGATTAGAACATCTGTGTTTCTTGCAGCGCTCCTTCAAATCTGGTTTAGTTTGTCACTTTTTTTGTGTCTTTGTCCTTTTGAAAACTCCAGATTTTGTGACTTACTTAATGTTTTCTTCTTCCATTTACATTACTTTATTATAACAGGGTAGCTCTTAGGGTAGATCTTAAAAGCCTTAAAAAGGTCTTAAATTTCATGTTCCTAAATTAAGGCCTTAAAAAGTCTTAAATTATGTTGTCCAAGTCTTATTTTTTCCACAAAGGTCTTAATTTCATTAGCCTATTTTTTTGTAAACTCAACCGAGCTGCAGTGCGATGTTAAATGGAGGGAGGAAAAAAAACAACAATGCGAAATCACGTCTAATTTGGAGTATGTGCAAACAATACTTTTTACCAGTTTTTGGCGCAAATTCGGCGACAATGAGTAAACAGTCAGTACAGTGGAGGAAGACTTGGTTTAATCCACACTGTTTCTCTTAAATTCTAAATATAGTAGTTGGTTGGTCATTATTAGAATTGGATGTGGTGTTTTTCGCCTGCATAATGGGTGCGATGTTGGTCTTAATTTTCATTCAAGTGGTCTTAAAAAGGTCTTAAATAAAGTCTTAAATTTGGCGTTGTCAAACCTGGGGACACCCTATATAAAGATGATATCACATTCCCACAGTTACTTTTTAAATTACTCTTACTTGAGTAGTAGTTTGCTTTTTTCCTCTTGTACCACTACTACTTGAGTCATATTATTTTAAAGTAACGTGACTCTGATATTGCACAGCTGTGAAATGAAAACTGACAAAGCAAAGGGTAACTACTTTGAGGAATTTTAATCTTTTCGTTGTGTTATTTCAGTTTTTCGTCTTTGTTACATAATTCTACATGTCTTGCTTTATATTTAATTTCTTCCGTATATAACTAAAGAATGAAAAACAGTGAATGAGAAGAAGTGTAGCGCAAACGTTTGTCTGGTAGTCTCTCATATTTCTTTTTGTACGCCGTGGCTCTGTGACATTTTCTGTCTTTGATCGATTTAACCTTTGAGTAAATCCAGGTCACAGAGTCGTGCAGAGAACAGAGAGACCAAAAATAAATCTAAACGTTAAAGGAAATAGATGAATCACAATGGAAATTTGAAATGAAACTGGCAAATCGCAGAGGCTGCAATTTTTGTAGTACCATAATACCGTAAACGACAAACTCTCCTGTCTTACTCTGCTGTGGTTTAGAGTTGTACAAACATGTTCTGAAATGTGATTCTTGTATCAGTGAAAGGGCCTATATTACACTATTTTGTGATCTACTGAAATGTTATAATGTTGTTTCCTCATCAAAAACATAAACAAATCCTACATAGCAAAAGGAAAATTCTATTCTGTCAGCTGGAGATAAGTTGAAATCCTGCATATTTAGGCTGTGTTCTTCTCTCTATACATCTTATCTACAATAATTTCTTTAATTTTAGCCTTAGAATTGCCCATTTCTACGACACAAAAGGTAAAAGTAGCATATTTTACATAACCACCCTTAACTTTCCAAACATAAAAGATATAAACTTACTTTTTTTTACTTGAAAATCGGACAGATGCTGACAGTTTTTGAGCATTATTCCAGCATTATCTTACGTCACACGCACCCTAGAGAAAACGAGTGTCCAATAGGAACTTTGTTTTCCGCCAATCGCATGCGCTCCATCCATTTTGATTGGTCCAAACTTTGCCAAAGAGTGTAGTGAGTCAAAACGGTCGACTGCTCTGAGCGTCTGTGTTCATAATAAATGACAGAACCGCTCTGAGTGCAGTTATTTCACAAATAAATGGCAAATTACACTAGTAAAGTAGTCTATGTAATTACGCATCTCTTGTTAGTTTTGCTTGCTTGTTTCCATGTAAAATAATGGGGCCATTGCACTTTTTTTGTTTTGTTTTTAGGGCAATAAGGATATTTTTAGTTTACTTACAGACTTAATATTTTGCACTTTTGTAGCCTAAGTCCCATAATTAACATTTTTTTTATATCCAAAAAGTTGTTTATACATGTTTACTGTGTGTTTTGTATGAAGGTATGAATTTTATTTTTGTTTTTTGTTTTTTAAATGCTGTTTTTTTATTTGTATTTCTGGTCCTACAGCTTTTATTGCAGCCATATGACACAACTACAGTAGCAGATTGTGAAATAACAGGTTGTACTGAATAAAAGGATGTATAACACTTCATTAGGGGGTAAAAAGAGGAGTTTTAACAGCAAAATTAAGAAAAAAATCCAGGCAAGAACAAATGTACTGAAATTGCCCTTAAGTCTGGAAATTAACTTGAAAACAACCGCTTCATGACATCACAAGGTGGAACAGAGCATTATGAGCTTTGGAGATGTAGAAAGATTAATAATCCAGGGTGACTCAAACATTTGTGAATGAAACAAAACACTCTGGGTATCTTGTTTAAGACGCAACAACATTCCAACATGATTTAAAGCTCACAAAAGTAAATATTGAACCATGTACAGTAGGACCTTTGTCAATTCTTTTGAACGCTTTTAAAATATGAACCTTGAACAGAATTAGATATTTTTCCAAGAAATGACAGCCACAATTAAGAACAATTTTGAATTTAATTTAATTAGAATTGCAAGTTATGTTTTAAAATCAATATTAAATTTGTAGTTTAAGTGTATATTCTGAACAAGAGCATTGACATTTGACAGAAGACTGAATGAACAATTAAACTAATTCAAGAATCTTACGCATGTTGTTAGGTTCTTTTTTCAGACCAAGAGTTTATTTTCATACCTGACAGTTTCGACTGCTCACTAACAAGGAAGGAAGAGCGCTGGTGAGCCGTCGAAACTGTCAGGTATGAAAACAAACTCTTGGTCTGAAAAAAGAACCTAACAACATAAATTATCAGAAGACCAAATGAATCTCACTGGACTCAGAATCTTATGCACTTCAGAACATGTTTGTAGAAGTCCAAACTACAGGGTTAGCAGCTTTTATACAGAATGAGTCCTAATATATCACCTACAAGTTCAGCGTCTCCTCTGTCGGTGTAGATAAGCAAAGGTGAAATGCATCTTTCACAGTCGCCTCTGAAAATAGTGCCATTGCTCAACACCAAAGACGTGATCGTTGTCAGTTAAAAGGACTCGGAACAGAAAGATTAATATGGGAAGTTTGTGGAGCCAGTCAAACAAATCACGATAAGGCACCACTTTAAATGCGTAATAATGAGAACTTTTGAGCCCCTTTTTGTATTGGGATATAGTTGTACATAACTGCTGTTTTAACGTGTATGTGACAGGTTAGACTGCTCATTTCACTAAAACATACTAAGAGTCATTATATTTAAAGGCAGGTACAGAGCAAATGAGAAGGGAAACACTACAGCATGGTTAGAAGCTCTAAAAAGTCAATTTGGCTTCATAACTCTGCTCAAAAGAATTCACTGTAGTATTATTATAGGCGTGAATGATCATTAAAGCTCCTATATTACACAAAGTGGACTCTTGTGAGCTTTAAGCAATATTACAGTGCTGTTACCTCCATCTATCCATTTCGTCCGCTTATCCGGGGCCGGGTCGTGGGGGCAGCAGTCTAAGCAGGGACTCTCAGACTTCCTTCACCCGGGACACTTCCTCCAGCTCCTCCGAGGGGACTCTGAGATGTTCCCAGGTCAGCCCAGAGACATAGTCCCCCCAGCGTGTCCTGGGTCTTCCCTGGAGCCTCCTCCCAGTGGGACATTACCGGAACACCTCCCACCATCTGTTCCAGATGCCAGAGACACCTCATCTGCTCCTCTCGACGTGGAGGAGCAGCGGCTCTACTCCGAGCTCCTCCTGTGTCCTTTCAGTCATTACCCAGAGCTCATGACCATAGGTGAGGGTAGGAATGAAGACTGACCGGTTAATCGAGAGCTTCGCCTTTCGGCTCAGCCCCTTCTTCACCACAACGGTCCGATATAGCGACTGCATCACTGCAGAAGCCGCACTGATCCGCCTGTCAATCTCACGCTCCATCCTCCCCTCACTCATGAACAAGACCCCGAGATACTTGAACTCCTCCACTTGAGGCAGGGACTCTCCACTCCCGGAGAGGGCAAGCCACCTTTTTCCGGTCAAGAACCATGATCTCGGATTTGCTGATCCTCATCCCAGCCGCTTCACACTCGGCTGCAAACCGCCCCAGTGTCCCAGTCCTGGTTTGAAGAAGCCATCAGGACAACATCATCTGTGAACAGCAGAGATGAGATCCTCTGGTTCCCAAACTGGACCCCCTCCGGCCCCTGACTGTACCAAGAAATTCTGTTCCATAATACATACATATAATGAACAGAACCGGTATAGTGCTGTTACCTCCTCAAAAACATACTTGGACTTGTGTTTTGATTTATTCTCACATGTTTGAGCAAACCTGACTTATTAGTCTGTCTATCTCCAAAGCTCAAAATGCTGTGTTCTACCTTGTGATGTCATGAAGCGATAGTTTTCAAGTTAACAGCTACATTTAACCTTTTAAATTCAGTAGAGTTTGGCAATTTCCACAGCTCAGATGATCCAAATGATTTTATTGAAGGTGTATGGAGTTGGAGTGTTTTCTGCTTGAGAGGAGAACTCATCTTAAATATGCAGGGTTTTGTGTGTGAAACATGTGTGAATGAAACAAAGCACAACTCCAGGTTCTGTTTGTGATGAGGAAACAACATTATAACAGAGATCTGAAAACCGTGTAATACAGGCCTTTTTAAATTGTGATGTTTTTCTTATAATCTTTTCAGTTTCTTGAGAAGTAGTTTGAAATGCTCTGTTTCTTAGCTCTTATTTCCTGCTTTTGTGTTTGCTCAGGATGAGGAGGTGCCACTGGAGCTGAGGAGTTTGCCCGAGTACAAAGAGCTTCTGGAGCTGAAGAGGTTAAAGAAACAAAAACTACAGGAAATCCAGGAAGACAAGACCAACGTCAGGCACATCGGCTTCAAGGTAAAGTACACTCCAGCCAATAAGACTCAGTATTATAACATATGTTTAAATCAAACTTTTCCCAAACTTTTTTTCTGGGGACCCATGTTTTAAAAGTCACAAACTTTCACGACCCAAGTTAATAGACATTATTTGTTCAGTCCGGGTGCAGGAGGAGAGCGCAACACACGGATCAGACGCAGCATTCAGTCTGTTTCTGCGCTTTGTCTTAATTTTTATGAGCACAGAAAATCCCACCCTAATTTTTCCAGTTATTTATTGTAATTCAAGTCGTGCAAGTCCAATGAAGAGCTTGAACAAAACACAAAGTAAAGCTTGAAAACATGGAGTGTCCAGCACAGTCTCCAGACTTAAACCCCATCGAGCTGGTTTGGGATGAACTGGATAGAAGAGTGAAAAGCCAAGCAACCTACAAGTGCCACACATTTATGGAAACTTCTACAATAGACTTGGGAAGAACTTTCTGAAGAATATTTGATTTTTGTTGTAAAAAGAACGAGCCACGAGTGTGTTCAGCTGTTATATCTGCCAAAGGTGGACACTTTCATGAATCAAAAGTTTAGAATAAGTTTTGGTCAACAGTAAACCGTAAAAAATTGGTGAAAAGTGTAAAAGTTTGGTGTTCTGTGTGCGTCCCTCTAATGAAACTACTGCACATTGTATCGGGTTTGTGTATTATTTCTCTTGTGTGTTTTGCTTTTAGCTGCTGTAATATGAGTTTTCCTTTTGACTGCGTGTTGTCCTGATGGTGTGTGTGTGTTCCAGTGTGACGTGTGTGGCACAGAGCCCATCCAGGGGGTGAGGTGGCACTGTCAGGACTGTCCCCAAGACAACTCTGTGGACTTCTGCTCCAACTGCTCAGACTGGTGAGAGAAGCACGTTTAACCCTTTTTTTTTTTTTTTTTTAAAACATTTGTACACACCATAAACTCCAGACTTGTGTGTGTCGTCCGAATGGATTTCCACACATTTAATCTATCTGGAACGCCATGATGGATATTTGAATATGATTTTGTCCAAGTGTCACAACAGTAGAACAAGCCAGTGTAGGCATGGTACTAACTAGGGATGTAACAATAACTGAAATATCGTGATATCGTATCGTCAAAGTTCTCACAATAATATCGTGGACCATCACAATATATTGAATTACAAGTCTCTTTGCTTAAATTAAGAGTTATGGTACAGCAATAGTAAAAAAAAAAAAAAAAAAGACAGAAGGAACTACATAGACCATGATCCTTTGCTCCATTTCAGTGTAGACTACAAGAAGAAATAACAGTTCTAAGCACTGGTAAGTCTTAGTTCTCTGGATTAATTCTTGTCAAGGCATTTTAAGATGAAAAAAGTAGCATATTAACAGTTTTGTTAGTCTCCACAAAATATCACAGTAAGTATTGTACCAGGAGATGTAAATCATGAAAATAACGTTGAGATTTGGATATTGGTACATCCCTAATCCTTAGTGTTTTCAGTTTGAGAGAAGAACTCAGCGTAAATCTGCAGGGTTTGTGCGTTAGAAAAAGGATCAAAACTAAAACACAACGGACACCAGGCACTCAAAAGAAGTAGAAAAAGTAAAAAAATCGCATCGGCCTCTATTCGAATGGTCAAAGCCAACATGTTTCGACCTTAACTGGTCTTCATCAGAGCTTGAAGCAAGGTCGAAGCATGTTGGCTTTGGCCATTCGAATAGAGGCCGATGCGATTTTTAAACTTTTTCTACTTCTTTTGAGTGCCTGGTGTCCGTTGTGTTTTAGTTTTGATCCTTTTTCTAAAAGCATCCTCTATCTGCTCCCACTGATTGAAACACATGCAGCAAAAAGCCACATTTTTGTTCTTTCACAACTTCAAGTCTGTTTGTGATGAGGAAACATTAAAACATAGATCAGAAAATAGCGTAATAAAGGCCTTTAAAAGTTCAGGGTTTCCACAGTCATGGAAATTGAAAATTACATTTTCACACAACTACTGTTAAATTATCATTAGGCTATTATGATTATTTCTGAACGTCTGGGCCTTTTGTTTAAAAAAGACGACAATAAATGCACTGACAGTATTTTGAATGTTAAAAAACTATAAAACCAAACCATAAGGTGAGTGGAAAGAGTTAACATTTCATATTTAGCCCTAAAAGTCTAATCAGTTCTACACATGTAGGTGCCGTAAAGTCATGGAAAATTCACTTTAGGTCATGAAAAAGTCATGGAAAAGTTTTGAAATTTTATCAGTGAAAAAGAGTGGGAACCCTGAAAGTTATGCAAAATCTCTGCTTTTTTTTTGGGTGGAAGGTCCAAAACTTTCTTCTCTCCATGTAGATGTTAATGTTGTTTCTAAAATCGATCTTTGTTCCTTTTCAGTTTGTACAAGACGGACACTCACAAACCCTCGCACCACTTGGAGCCCGTGTACAGACCTGAGACTTTTCTGGACCGGGACTACTGCCTCCCCCCGAGCGCCGCGGGATACAACTACCTGGACCCCAACTATTTCCCCGCCAACAGATGACAGCGCCCGTAACAAAGACAACCCGAACAACGCGCGCTCTCTCTACCACTAGACACAGAAACCGACCCACTGGCCAATCTGCGCATGGCTTCAAACTCCACCAAGTCCACGATAAAACCGGGACTCAGGTCAAGAACCTGCCAGAACCAGCACTACAACAGGACCGGGGCAAGACGGAGAGAGTGAGAGAGAGTGACGGAGAGGAGGTCCGGTCCGGTTCAACGTTCGGAAACTGGCCCCACGTGACCTAAGCGCCGGGCGGCCGTTTTGGATCAACATTTTTAAAAGAAGGCACACAACATTCCTGAGCGTTGTGACTCCGGGAGGGCACCTGGCATACTGTTCCCCATAGTGTCATACTATTCTTATTATTACCTCCCTTTGCTGCTTTCAAAAAACGGGGGATTCGTGAAGTACAGCGCCACCCGATGGAACGCAGAGAAGTCCCGACCAGACGTGGACTGTGAAGCTAAAGAGAAAAAAAAACGCCGGTTCTACCTGTAATGTTAATGGTCCCTGTGTTTTTGATGCCAGAGTGAAAAATGTCCTAGCTAGGTATCCGTACAATGAGTATTTATGAATGGGAAAACAGCGGAGGTTAAAGTAACAGGTGTCGAGGCAGGAGATCTCGGATGATGTGTTTAAGGACACTCGTAATTTTAAGTGTTGCACCACCATGTTTTTCTTCCACTGTCACACAGCGCTGCTTCACTCGCCTCGTTTAAGTTGAGCGGGTTTGGTTTGGGACGGGTCAGGGCGGAGGAAGAACGTCCAGGACTGCGACAAAACTTGTTGAAAGTATCGAAAATCAGATATCGAAACTGGAGCAGGTATCGATACTAAAAAAGTCACATTCGCAGGACAAAAATGAACATTCGTGAGTAGTTTTAGAATGATCTTGAGCTGTATCAGAAGAGCACAGAGACTAGTACATGTTGTAACAATAATCGAAATAATGTGATATCGTATCTAGGGTTCTAAGAAGTTGCCGATACAATACATACCTCGATACATAGGCCACGATACGATACAGTCAGCTTTCGGTTCGTTACGATGTATTTCAAATCAATTCGATACGGTTAAATGAAAAGAAAATGGCAAATTCATGACTGTGATACTAAAAGTCTTTGTTAAACCGCTTCTTGTGCAAAATTAATATGAAACACAAACATTTTAATCATCAAAAACTGTGAAAATGTCAAATGTGTCGCATAAACGAGTTTCCTTCCACTAAACCAGGCATGTCCAAACTATGGACCGGGAGCCTAATGACAAAACTAATTTTTCTTGGCCCTCAGAGTTCCAGGTGAATTGGCCCAAATAACCTTGCATCAGTTAAAAAGATTTTTTTTTACTGCAGGTGTTTTGAAAATCTACCTTGATGAATTTAATATTTAATATTTAGTGTGTGGTTTTAAGGATCTTAGCATGAATAAAGTCTGATGGCTCATTCTAACGTGTTAAACATGCACATATTTCAATTATTCACTGTATTGAGCACCAGCCTCTGCTTTATCTGTGTCTAGATATGTGGCCCTTGATGAAAAAAGTTTGGACTCCCCTGCACTAAACAAGCAACAAAACTGTAGCTCTGTAACAAAATAATGTTGTAAAATATAAAAAAAAATACTCCTACATAAAACGATACGATATATCGATATTTCAATATTTTGCACAACCCTAATCGTATCGCCAAAACTCTCACAATAATATCACAATAATGTCACAATATATTGAATTACAAGTATTTATAAAAGAGGAACTACACGGACCATGATCCTCTGCTTCATTTCAGTGTTGATTACATGATGAAATCACTATTATTAAGCACTTTTAAATCTTAATTCATTGGATTATGACTGTAATAATTCACACAATTGAAGTCTTTTCAAGGAATATGAAAAGAGAAAAGGATCGTATTCACAATTCTGTTAGCTTCTCCAAAATGTTTGTAACGTGAGATGCATATCGTGAATATATCGTAACGTGAGATTTGGATATTGTTACATCCTTATTATGGAACCACTGAGGGATTACACAGATATAAGACCACAAATATAACATATAAAAGAAAGTACTATGATTTAATGCTCTATTGTCTTAAGAATCACCGCGGTATCAGAATCGGTATTGAGTATGACTGTGTATCATTAAGAAGTTGTTGATACGATACATACCTCGATACATAGGCCACGATACGATACATATTTCGAGACGGTGAGCTTTCAATTCAATACGGTTCAATTAAAAATTAAAGACTAAATGATGTCTGTGATACTAAAAGTCTTCGATAAACCACTTCTTGTGCAAAATGAATATAAAATACGTCAATTTTAATCATCAAAAACAGTGAAAATGTCGAGTTTTATTCCTCTGAACAAGCAACAAAACTGTAGCGCTGTAAGAAAATAAATTAGTGAAATAAACCAAAAAATACTCTTGGCAATAGGGGTGTGCAAAAATATTGAAATATCGATATATCGTATCCTTTAATGTGATGATACAGTATCGATATCATGGACTGCTGTATCGATATATCGCCAAGAGTGTTTTTTGGCATATTTTACTAATTTTTTTTGTTACAGTGCTGCAGTTTTGTTGCTTGTTTAGAGATTTTCACTGTTTTGAGGTTTAAAATGTTTGTGTTTCATATAATTTTTCACAAGAAGTGGTTTAACAAAGACTTTTAGTGTCACAGCCATGATTTAACCTTTATTTTTTATTGAACCGTATCGGATGTTTTGATGATTTGAAATATATCGTATGGAACCGAAATCTCACTGTATCAAGGTATGTATCGTATCGAGGCCTTTGTATCGTATCGGCAACTTCTTAATGATACGCAGCCCTGCTTGGCGATATATCGATGCAGCAGCCCGCAATATCGATACTGTATCATCATTAAACGATACGATAATACTAGAGGTGTGCAAAAAAATCGAAATAAAATCAAGTATCGAGCCTGTTCCTTAGTATCGTGACAAGAGTAAAAGTAAGTATAGTTATTACAATCCGTTATCAGATATTTTTGTTATTTTTATCTTAATAATCACTCAATAAAACTGTTCATTTCCCCGTACTGTTCTGATCTGACCCGAACCAAACCCGACTTACCTTGACCAGGCTTAATTTATCTACTTTTTCTGTTCATTCTCCACTAAACACTACAGCGTGGAGGCTCCATCAAACTGGGAACGCATTTTGGAATTAATTTGACGATTTTCTAATTTCGCCCCTCTAATGTTTGCTGTTGTTGATCATGTTTCGTGTTCAGAGTTAAATGGTGAAACGTAGCCAGCGCTAATTACCGTGTGTGCCATTTTTAACCAACTAGTCTCGTTTATTTCCCAGCACATTGAACACAACTTTCTGTATCATCGTCCTCCTATTAAACACCATTACTGCTCTAGACATAATTTGAAAAAAGATTGTATTTTTATGAGTCTATTTAAAAAGATTTGCGGTTGTGATCGATGCCTCCCGCGCAGTTTTATTCACATGCTTTTGTTGTGCTTGGATAGTCACCATATTGTAAGGTCTCTGTTCCTTCACCCCCCATCGCCCCCTGGCTTCAGTATCTGTGTATAACAGTCTGTTCTTATGTACAAAAATGATAATGTAAAAAAAGCTAGAGGAGAATCGTGGAAATAAAAGTATGTGAAAATAGTGTTTCTACATCCGAGTGTCGTGGTTTTATTTTTTGAAATGTTTTTTTTTTTGCAGTGTGGTGGGTTAGTAGCCAGGCAATCTGTGTATCGTTCGTTCATTCGTTTTTCAATATAAAACCAAAAATAAGAAAACGAAAAAACAACTGATTTCTTCATTATTTGTCTCCAAAACCAAAATGAAAAAACAGATGATGATTAGTTTTTTCAGTTTTCGGTTTTGTGTTTAAATGAAGAATGGAAAAAACGAATAATAGCCGTTTCCCGTTTACGTGACTTCAGTGAGTGTGATGCTGGACTGAACCAGGACTGATCCAGTCCGGGACCAGACCGGGACCAGACCGAGACTGAGACCAGACCGGGACCAGACCGAGACTGAGACCAGACCGGGACCAGAGCGAGACTGAGACCAGACTGGGACCAGAGCGAGACTGAGACCGAGACCAGGCCGGGACCAAACCGGGACCACACTGGGACCACAGAATGGCTGAGACCAGGACCAGACCAGGACTGAGACTGGGACCAGACCAGAGGCTCAGAACCTACGGCAGGGCCAGAGCTCGAAGCTGAGGCTCGGAGTCAAAGCTCGGAGTCAAAGCTCAGAATCCGCTCTTGTCCCGCTCTGGTCCTGCTCTGGTCCCGGTCTCAGTCCTGGTCTGGTTCCGGACTTGGATCAGTCCTGGTTCAGTCTGTATGGAGTGCAGAAGTCCGGCATCGCAGTTACGAGAGTCACGTAAACGGGAAACGGTCGTTATCCGTCTTTTCCATGATTCATTTAAACACAAAATCGGAAATTTTTTCGTTTTCTTATTTTTGGTTTTATATTGAAAAACGAATGAACAAATGAAACCCGGATTACAGGCCTACAGTTTTTCTACGACTGCACAGTGGTTCGTGCTTTCGTCCCACAGCAAGAAGGTTCTGAGTTTGATTACGAGTGTGGGGCCTTTTGTGTGTGGAGTTTGCATGTTCTTCCTGTGCAAACGAGTCAAAATCTCAGGGGATTTTTGGAATAATTAATGATTCAGTGACAAGTATCTTAATATAAAATACACAGAAACATGAGCCTTCATTTTTAGTAATATGAAGATAACGAACGATCAAACTAAAGCATTTCCAAAGCACAAAAGGACATAGTTTTTAGTGAAATGATCAAGTTAAAGCCCCAGTATGTAACTTTATTTTGCTTTCATTTAGGTCCAGGGTTCCCACACGGTCATGGAAATCCAGGAAAAGTCATGGAAATTGAAAATGTAATCTTCTAGGTCTGGAAAAGTCTTGGGATTTTGTAAATTCAATGAAAGTTTTGGAAAAGTCATGGAATTTTAGTATCTCTTTCACGCAACTACAGAGTTTTGTTAAGTTCTCATTAGACTGTTATGATTATTACCGAACGTTTGTTTAAAAGAGACGACAATAAATGCACCGGACAGTGTTGGGGAGTAACAGATTACATGTACCAGGATTACGTAATCAGAGTACAAATTATGAGTAACTGTATTCAGTTACAGTTACTGTTTCAGTGAGTGGTAATTGGATTACAGTTACTTTTTTCGAAATAAATGGATTACATGGTGGTCTTTCCCTGTTTTCACATTTTGGGCTAAACCAGGACTAAACCAGGACTAAACCAGGACTAAACCAGGACTAAAACCAGGTCTAAACCAGGACTAAACCAGGACTCCTAAACCAGGACTAAAACCAGGACTAAACCAGGACCAGGACTAAACCAGGTCTAAACCAGGACTAAACCAGGACTAAACCAGGACTAAACCAGGACTCTAAACCAGGTCTAAACCAGGTCTAAACCAGGTCTAAACCAGGTCTAAACCAGGTCTAAACCAGGTCTAAACCAGGTCTAAACCAGGTAAACTAAACCACCAGGTCTAAAACAGGTATAAACCAGAAACCAGGTTAACAGTAGGGTGGACATGATTTAAGGCAGCACTGATCTCATATAGAAATAATTTTTCTATCAATAATATATTTTTTTTAATGTTTAAGTAAAAACTGGGCTTTTTCTTGTCTTTTAGCAGGTAAAACAAAACATCTTAAGTTAAAATCCTGGTCTTTGCTTCTCTACAGTAAACAATTGCCTGTTCATGGAGACTTGGGCTCAACAGACAATTTGAAGAGAACAAACAAGAATTTTCAGGATGTGGTCGCTTACATTCATGTAGTTTTAAAAAGCATGACAATAAAAAGTAATCCAAAGTATTCAGATTATGTTATTCACTTTAAGTAATTTAATGGATTACGTTACAAACTACATTTTGATGTATGTAATCTGTAATCTGTAGGGGAATATGTTTTAAAAGTCACCTTCCCAACACTGTGCACTGACAGTATTTTGAATGTTAAAAAATTATAATCCCAAACTATAAAGTGAGTGGAAAGGGTTAACATTTCATATTTAGCCCTAAAAGTCGGATCAATTTTACATGTAGGTGCTGTAAAGTCATGGAAATTTCACTTTAGGTCATGGAAAAGTCATGGAAAAGTTGTGAAAGTTTGTCAGTGAAGAGAGTGAGAGGAAACCCTGTGGCTCGTTCTCTTTCATGTCCAGACTGTGAGCGGGGTTTGCATCATCTGGTGGACGGCCTCCTCCTGCTCGTTTCTGTGGAAATGTTGTTCTTTTAGCTCTAATATTCCTGAGTATCCGGGGTGAAGGAAGTCTGGGAGTCCCTGCTCAGACTGCTGCCCCCGCGACCCGGCCCCGGAGAAGAGGAAGACAAAGGACGGATGGATTCCTCAGTTTGGTATTATACCAACTTCAGTAGCTCAGTTGGTAGTTTGTCCACTGGTCTGAAGGTTGCCAGTTTGAATCCTGCTCTCGACATAAACATCATTGGTTGAGTGATCAGATCCACTGACTCACAGGTTGGCTGGTGTGATTCCAGCTCCCACAGATGAATGCTGTTGTTGTGTCCTTGAGTAAGACACTTAACGCACCTCGTCCCCAGTGTTTGTGTGCACTGGTGAATGACTCGTGTGTGAGTGGTTCCTTGTTGTGAAGCGTTTTGAGCCTTGAAGGTGGAAAAGCTCGATATAAAAACGTGACCCTTTACCAAGTTATGGTTTTACCTTTTTATTTCCATTGAATCATGCAGGTGACGTTCCACCTCCTGTCACTGCTTTGTCTCCAGAGATTTTTTTGGGTCGCCTTGTCACGATCTGCATTTATGTCTGCAAAATACAGTTCTGACACACAGAGTGACTCCACAAATATATTATCATCATCCTGGATCAGCATCTCATCAAAATATCCTGTCCTCAGTAGGGCCAGTACTTCTTTGCTTATTCCTTTCACTACTACCGGTACATATATGTGTACTTAATTATTTGTTATTATTGATAATGATGGCAATAATAAAAAAATATAAAATATTAAATGATAAAATAACACTAATAGAATATAAAAATTATAAATATATATATATAAAAATTATGATACATACTATAAATATTAATAAATTATTATACATTTTATTATTAATACATTATTGGTAGCAGTAATAGGGGCAGCAGTAGCTCAGTTGGTAGAGCTTTCGCCCACTTATCTGAAGGTTGGTGGTTCGAATCCAGCTCGCAACATAAAAAAAAAAACATCACAGGTTGAGTGGTCAGATCCACTGACCCACAGGTTGGCTGGTGTGATTCCAGCTCCCACAGATGAATGCTGCTGTTGTGTCCTTGGGCAAGACACTTAACCCACCTTGCCCACAGTGTCTGCGTACACTGGTGTATGAATGTGTGTGTGAATGGGTGAGTGGTTCCTTGTTGTAAAGTGCCTTGAAGGTGGAAAAGCGCTATAGAAAAATGTGACCCATTACCATTTAATAATGGAAACATTATGGTTATGTATTATTATTTATTTATTTTTATTTTTTTTGCCTGTACCATGTCCTGCTTTTGTGCACCTGTTTTGTCTGCCTCTAATTTACTCCAGCCTTGTTATTGGTTGATGTGATCTACTTGAAGGCCACACCTATGCTTTGTTTTTAATCAGGCCCTGATGAAGACCAGTTAAGGTCGAAACATGTTGGCTTTGGCCATTCAAATAAAGGCCTTTTAATTATATTTTTCCTCGTGCGATGTTTTAACTTTTTCTACTGTTTTGGAGTTGCCTGGAATCTGTTGTGTCTTGAGTTTTGATCCTTTTTTCCAAGAGCACCTCTATTTGCTCCTGCTGATTGGAACACCTGCAGCAAACAGCCACATTTTTGTTCTTTCTACATATGTGTGTGAATTGAGATTTTCTGTGCTCATAAAAATGAAGACAAAGCTTAGGTTCAGTCCGGCGTCGCAGTCACAGGAGTCACGTAAACGGGAAACAGTCATTATCCGTTTTTTTCCATTTTTCATTTAAACACAAAATCGAAAACTGAAAAAACGAATCATTATCCGTTTTTTCCATTTTGGTTTTGGAGACAAATAATGAAGAAATCTGTTGTTTTTTTCATTTTCTTATTTTTGGTTTTATATTGAAAAACGACACGGATTGCCTAAGATCATTTGAACCTTCTCTTATTTCTTGGTTTTGTTTGTTGTCGCTCTCTTTCCAGCAGAGGGCGCTATCCTACCACTCCTGCCTGTCCACACACCGACCGCAGACACAAAGAGCACAGAGCCAGTGTGTTGCAAATGTTGTTTTTTTATTGACAGTTTAAATACCCGACTGGAACAAGCACCTGTACGACGCAAACAGAACAGATGTGGTTATAATGCGAGTCGTGTCCGTGGAGCGGCGAGTCAGAGCTGTGGGCATGCGGCGTTAAAGAGAGAGCCAGGTTTTAAACAAGAGAGCGAGAACACCATTTAAACCTGTCACTGTTACTTCAGTCTGAACCTCCTCTTGGAAAAAAACAAACCTTAACAACTGGGGAAAAGTACACGAGATTAAAAAAGCAAGACAAAGGCGATTCCGATGGTGTTTAGAGTCGAGTTTTGACAATTTATCCATAAACTATGCAGAAATCTATGAATATGTCACAATAAAGTTTCATTTAAATGACTTATGAGCTATTTTCTGATCTAGTTTATAATATTTCCTCATCAAAAACACACCTGGAGTTTTGTTTTCACGTAAATACACAGAAAATCATATCATACGTATTAACAGATTACAATTTTAAGTAAAAAAAACAACAAAACATCATTAAAAAATCCAAATCCTACATATTTTGGCTGTGTTCTTGTCTTAAACTTGTTTTTTGTTATGATTAAAAACAGATTATAAAATTATAACTTAAAGTAAACACTCTTTTTGGGCAATATATATATATTTTTTTAAAATTTCTATTATGATTTCACTAATGTGGTATGTTCCATTGTATAAGAATGTAAATCTCTCACTTGCCTCAAATAAATTCATAAATAAAATAATAAAAGAAAATAAAAGGAATTGCGTTTAAAATTATACTTTGGGTTTGTAATAAACAGTCAAAGATGATGAAAGGAAAAGGAAGTTTAGTTTAAGTAAAGTGACTAAAAATGTTTATTTAAAAATGGGAGGAATTTAAAAAAAATGAAAATGCCATTAAAAAGATGCTTTGAGTTTGTAATAAATAGTAAAAGATGATGAAAAGAAAAGGAAATGATGATGGTGACAATATTAGTTTAAGTATAGGGACTAAAAATGTTGATTTAAAAATGTGAGAAAAAAATAAAGGAAGAGAAAATGAATTTAAATCATAAATTGGCCAAAATATATCTATGTAACGGGGTCTAGTGGTTTGTTTTTGCTGCACTACCACATTATTTTTGTTTTATTTGACCAAATTTGTGTCGGTGCGTGTGGTCGGGAGAATATTTTTTGTATTTTTTTGCTGTTTTGTATTTGTTGTGGGTGTTGCTTTATTTTTTTGTGTTTTGTTTTTATGTTGTTTATTGTATTTTGTTAAATGTTATATTTTGTTGCCCTTAATAATAATAAAAAATAAAAATAAAAAAAAATAACAAAGAATAAATAATAATAATAATAATAATAATAATAATAATAATAATAAAATAAAATTACAATGATTTAAGGTTGAAAATCACATTCCATTGTCTAAATAAAGAGTTTTTTATTATTAAAAAATAAAATAAAATAAAAAATAAAACATCATAAACAAAATACAACAACAGATTAAAGTGAGATTAAAGTTGAGACTTAAAAAAAAAAACATGTCATTTTTGTTTATACATTTCTAAAGTTTTTATGGATTTTCTTGCATTTTCTACATCTCCAAAGCTGAAAATGTTCCACCTTGTGACGTCGTGAAGCGGTAGTTTTCGAGTTAATTTTTATCTTTACTCTTTACTTTTTTATCTTTTGTTTAGCAGAAATGAGCAATTCCAGGGCTGAAGTTCATCCAGAGTTCATCCAAATGATTCTAGTGAAGGTGTATGGACTTTAAAAACACAAATATTACCACATGACATCACAAGGTGGAACAGTGTTTTCAGTCTGAGAGAAGAACTCAGCCTAAATATGGCAAAGCAAAACAAGGCAAGTTTATTTGTATAGCACAATTCATACTCAAAGTCATTCAAAGTGCTTTACAGAATAAGAAAAACATTAAAATCACAATAAAAACATAAATAATCATCATAAAATTAAAATAAGAGAGAAGAAGAAAAGCGCATAATAAAAACAGTTTTGAGCTGGATTTAATATGTTAAAAGTTTTGTTAAACATCTGAGTGAAACAAAAACAACTCCAGGTCTGTTTGTGATGAGGAAACAACATTAAAACAGATCAGAAAATAGTGTAAAATAGACTTTTTAATAAACCATGAACATAAAAGCCTTTGCCTTGTCTCTGTAATCCCGTGTTTGTCCTGTAGGTTTCCTCCGGCTCAGTCCTTCAGTCCCATAGACCGTTTATAGAATATATTTATACAGTGAACAGGCTGCGTTTATAGAATCATTTGAATATATATTACATACTGAATATTCTGTTTAAAGAAGAAGATATTTATTGATACTTTGCAGTCAGATCACAACGAGAGCTCATGTAGGGTGACCGTCTCTGTTTACGCCAGACAGTCCCAGTTTTGAGTCCCCTGTCCCAGCGGATTTATACAAAACCACTGACTTGTCCCAATTTTATACAAGAAATGTCCCCGATGTTCCTATTTTTGACCAATTTGAGCCCCACCAACAATAAAGCGAGGCGTACATTGTCATTTGTTGAAGAAAAATGCAGAAAAGCTGCTTAAAAATGACCAAAACACAAAGAAAATGTGGCAAAACTGACTCACAACTCAGGGTACGTTTACACATAGCTGCGTATGTTGAGAAACGAGTATTTTCCTCCATTCGTTTTCCAAAATAACATCATGCACACAGCATCGTTTTCAAAAAAAGTTTTCGTTTAAATCAATATGCATAAATACGCCATCGAGCGCTGTCATAACTACACCAAGTTTCTGGACGGCGCCTGGATTAGATTAAAACCTGTAGCATTTATTTCATTAAAGTTGTAAGTTTTACTCAAAAATACCTTGAAAAACGTGCTTTACTGAGCGGGCTCGCCTCTCCACAGATCTGTTAAAGAAGTGGTAAAATTGCTGACCTCAGAACTCATTCGTCTCTGGTCATAGATATGATTCATCTTTGCGCCAGAATAAACATGACTGCTGCTCTGAATGCTTCTTCATCATCATCATCAGAGCAAAAGGTAAACACTGGTCGCACTTTTGACACGTCAGCTGCCTAAAACTATGTTTATCTCACTCACTTTATCTCACAAGAAACCGTAGTTTTCCAGAATCTCCACTCTAACGAGGAGTGTCGTCTGCAGCCTGGGCGTTCCAGACGTGCCACAGAAACTCCCTAATGGTCGTTCCTGTAGCGTCTAATCAACCAATCAGAAAGAGTTTGCACTTTTCCGCTTTTCTGCTTTTTCTCAGTAAAAGTCTAAAGAACCAAATTAACAAGTTAGGCTACGTTCAGACTGCAGGGCTTAATGCTCAATTCAGATTTTTTTTTTGTGTGAAATCCGATGTTTTTGTGAGGTCGTTCACATTTCCAATTAAATGTGACTTGTATGTGACTCCAGTGTGAACAGTAAATGGCCCAAAAGTGTCCTGCATGTGCACTGGAGACACGACGACGTCAACCGCAGCGAGCGTGCTCTGTGTTTACGGAAGTTGTCCAAACATGGACGTGAGCATTGAGCACCGGAACCAGAACATGTACAGCTTACTTGTTTTAAGGAGGAAACTGAGAAGGAGAAGGACGAGGTTTTTGGTCGTGGTGTTTTGTGGGGCAGCGGCAGCGACGTCCGTTGAAAGAAACGTGTGGATGTGGAGACGGAGCCAAGAGTGATGAGTGGTGATGTGCTTCACTTCAGTTCATTAACAATTTTTGTATGAAGAGAAGAACGTTTGTGCGCATTTGTGGCTTGTTGATAACGTGTAGGTGGGATGAATGCGCCTTGGCCGTTCAGACTGAAGTCGCATGTCAAAAGATCAGATATGTATCGGTTTCAGGACCACATATCCAAGTGTCCTGGGTCACATTTGAAAAAATCTGATCTGTGTCGTTCAGACTGTCATTAAAAGATCAGATACAGGTCACATAGGGGCCAAAAAATCGGATTTGGGTCACTTCAGGCTGCAGTCTGAACGTAGTCTTAGTTGACGATAGCGGCATGAGCCTTGACGTTAGGCCACATAACCGTAGTTCTACCCTAACCTTAAACTTTACTATGCGACGTTCAATGCCAACGTCAACGTACAACTCTTACTTCAATACTAACAAGTCTGACTTTGACATATTTGTTAGACCGGGTGTTGACAGTGGCGGGAGGCGTTCCCCGTTTAGAGGAAGAAACGCCCATTTATGTACCGCAGACCAACGATATTGACTGAGTTTTTAGAAATATTTTCAGAGACAAATTCACCGTTTGCGTGTAAAAGATGGGAACAAACGAAAGGAAATGTCTCCGCTTTTAAAAATACCAGTGTGAATGTAAACGGGGCCTTAGTCATGAAAAGGCCGAGTACAGAACAATTCTCCTTAATTACTAATTACTCGTTTCACAATTTCATTATTAGAAGCCAACCCAAACCGAGAGTGTCCCAGTTTTTGATTCTGAAAACTTGATCACCCTTAATCTAACGGGGATTTGTATGGATTTGTATGTCAATGTAGAAATGTTCAGCCGTTTCCATGGTGACACAAGGCAAACACAGGCAAAAAAGTGTGAAGTCTGAGAGAAAATACACAATGGATTTAAACACAATTTCAGGAGCCGGTGTTCAAGATAAAGAATGATGATGAAGTGATTTGTTATTTGAGAGAGTTTTGTTTAATAGCACAAATTATCTCTGCTGTTTTAGTTTTTTCTGGTCAGTTTGTGTTAAAACAAACTTCAGATTAAAGTCTAACCTGAGCACGAGAGCCTCAGACAGAGCGGTGCCTCCGTTTTTTTGCGATGTTGACGAATCGGCTGCAAAGTATCAATCCTCTGAACAGCCCGTACACAGAATATATTTATAAACCGTCCACGATCAGTCCACAGTCGCTTTAACACGAGGCAGAAAACGTGAAGCTTCATTTGAGTCGACACAGAGACTTGACTGAGTTTGAAAAAGAGGAGGAGCATGCAGAGAACTGGAGCCAGTAAGAGACTGTCCACACGGGGGCGCTGCGGCACGGTCTGGAACGCTACGGCGAAGTTAAAAGTGCGAATGACAGAGTTTTAAGATTCCCAAATTTGGGATTTTGACTGAATTTATTTTTTCATAATTCACTTTTGTCAATATAAATGATACGTTTACACAAATCAAGAAGCAATTTGTGAAGAAATGACAAGAAATGGTGAGAACTGGGAGTCCTTCCCCTGCTTGTTTCCATGGTTACGCCATTGCTCTGCTCGGAATGTTCCACAGTGTGACTTTAAACAGCTCTACTTTACATTTATTCAATCACAAGTGGTTTTATCGCTCAAAAATACCAAGAAAACCTACGTAAACATTCATAAAAAAACAGGCGTTCTGACTGTGAGCGGGGTCGCCTCTCCACAGATCTGACTTGGTAACTTGGTCTGGTCTAGTTTCCATGGAGATAGAAAGGTTTAAAGCCATGCTGCGGAACATTCCAGACAAAGCAATGGCATCTTTATAATAATATTTGACGGAGCCTCCACCAAGAAAAGTTACACAATGCACCTTTAAACATGAATTGAACTAAATAAAGGTGTTTTCTTTTATATTTGTATTTGTCAGACTACGTTAGAGGAGTGTTGCTAGGTAACGGTTATAAAATTCCCTAGTGTGGTGTTAAGATTTTAAACCAGAAAGTCAAATTTGAAACCTAAAAAAGAGACAAATTTAGAAAATGTCATGAAGGTTTTTGCAAAAATCTTAAATGTCATAATCAACGTTTCATTTCTTGCGGAGGATCTGTCACCTGCTTGTCTCCATGGAGATGTTGTTGCTTTGCCTGGAATGTTCCATGGTATGACTTTAAACGCATCCATCCAGCATTTATTCATTACGGGTGTTTCTATTGCTCAAAAACACAATAACAACTCTCCACAGATCTGAACTGTAATGTAGCGAAGTGCTGATATGTTTAATCAATACTGTGGAACATTCTAGATAAAGCAATAACATTACCATGGAGACAAGTGCATCTTTAAGTATAATGATGTATTTGGCCACGTTTACATGATGTTTTTTAATTCCGAGTTAATTGTTCTGAATTAAAATATGCTCAACGTCTGGGGGTGGGGAAGAATTCTGATTGGACACGAACGTATTTACGTCGACCGGAAGAAAACAAACACTTCAGCTGCTACCGTCATTTTCGTCGTCTCAGTTTGTCATTACGTCACGGACACAAACATGATGCAACTTTTGAAGCAGCAGCTCAAGAATTCTCTCGTCACGCTTTACGTCTGTCAGCTGAGGAGGAGGAGAAGGGAGGAAGAAGACAAATCTACCTCAGCCCGCTCCTGCATCCCGCTCGCAAATCCAAAGAGCAGTGGATGAAAGTCCGAAGTGAGGACTGGTGGAGCCGAATCGTACGGATTGCGTCAGAAGGGCAACTCAGCGAGCATGTGCTGAACGACCGGAATTAGAATAAACGTTTACATGATCGAGGAGTAAATTCATTCACTTGAGCCCTGTGTCAAAGTTTAAGAATCTCGCGGTCTTGTTCTCGAGTGACGGGAGGATGGAGCGTGAGATTGACAGGTGGATCGGCGCAGCGTCTGCATTGATGTGGTCGCTGTATCGAACCGTTGTGGTGAAGAGTTCCTACCCTCACCTATGGTCATGAGCTCTGGGTAGTGACCAAAAGGACGAGATCGCGGATACAAGCGGCCGAAATGAGTTTCCTCCGCAGGGTGGCTGGGCGCTCCCTTAGAGCTAAGGTGAGGAGCTCAGTCACACGGAAGGAGTTCTGGGCATGTCCCACCAGGCGGAGGCCTCGAGGACGACCCAGGACACGCTGGAGGGACTATGTCACTCAGCTGTCCTGGGAAAGCCTTGAGGTGCCCCTGGACGAGTTGGAGGAAGTGGTAAAGGAAGTCTGGGAGTCCCTTCTTAGACGGCTGCCCCGCGACCCGGCCACGAATAAGCGGGAAAAAAATGGATGGATGGAATAAATTAATTTGGCTTTAAAATCTGAATAAATCACCTGATTACTTCGGAATAAAGTGTAATTCCGAATAATACTTTTCATGAGGAATTAAGTGTTTACATGGTCTTTTTAAAGCAGAATACATTTTTATTCAGAATTAAATCATTTTTATTCGGAGTTAAAGCTCTCATGTAAACGTGGCGAGTGTGTTTTAATGATACTCTAACTTGTAGCACTTTAAGACTTCAGTCAAATATCGATCTGTTTTTGTTGGCCATTTAAGATAAACCCGAGCTGTTCCAGGCCGACCCGTGCCACAGCGCTCCAGTGCACACGTCTGTAAAAGGTGCGGTGTTGTCTTGTGTTGAGAGAATCCTTTGTGGCTGGAATCCTGGACTTGTGCAGAGTCTGGGTCTGATCCGAAGAAGAAAGGTTCAGGTTCAGAAAACGCTCTCCAACGCCTGACAGATCTGAGCAAACACCTCGTCTGGAGACCGCTCGGCATCGATCTGTCAACAACAACAACAGGAACAACAGACAGACGTTTGAAAAGGGGGACTAACACCTGACTCCGCCCACAACCACGATTCAAAGAGAGCGGCTAAAACTGAGCAGTGCCTGGAGGACTAAACGGGAGAGTGAGGGGAGCGAAGTGGCGGGGTTTGGAGGACTAAAAGGGAGAGTGAGGGTAATCTGGAGGACTAAAGGGGTGAGTGGGGCAGGGAGGAGGAGGCGCGGGGTCTGGAGGAATAAAAGGGGAGAGTGGGGGGTGGGAAGGGCGGGGTCTGGAGGACTAAAGGGGAGACTGAGGGGAGAGGAGGGATGTCATCTGGAGGACTAAAGGGGAGAGTAAGGGAAGAGGAGGGGCGGGATCTGGAGGACTAAAGGGGAGACTGAGAAGAGGGGGAGGGAGGGGTCTGGAGGACTACAGGGGAGAGTGAATGGGGAGGAGGGGCCGGGTCTGGAGGACTAAAGGGGTGAGTGAGGGGAGAGGAGAGGCAGGGTCTAGAGGAATAAAGGGGAGAGCAAAGGGTAGAAGGGTAAAAGGAGCAGAGTCTGTGCGTATAGATGCACAAAGTGGTGTTTTTCATCAGAAAGCTTACCTAGGTTAATTACCAAAATTACCAAAATTACCAAAAAATTACTAGGAACAGTAGATAATGCTATTAAAAAAGTTTAGTACTGAAAGAAAAAGTGAATGGATATCAAACCAATACCAGTGCCAATGGCTGCATGGCTCTTTGTTGTGGTGATGTTTACAGCGACGTCAGCTCCCATTGGGCACAGCCATTTTCACAATTTTATTAAGTCATTTGAGACCAATATTGTGATTTAAAATGTCCAAAATATAATATAATAATCCATAGTGTCATAGATTATAACTACACGAGCACAACATGTCTTCTTTAAATATTATATTAGATACGTGACATTTGGATTCAAACAGCTCATTGCAAAGGTGAGGTTGACAAAGCCTTTAACTTCTAAGGCTCTAACCTTTCGTGTAACTTTGGATCACTGCAGACTCATGGGGCAGAGCGGTGACCTTCAGCACAATGGCTTTAATCACACTGTTCATTTTTATGAGAAAGTTCAATTAGGTTTCGGCAGCGAGCTTTAATCAACAAGTCACCAACACATGTGAAGGGAAAGTGAATAAAACGTATTAGCAAGTGATTCAGCCACCGCAAACACCCAGAGCTCCTCCACAAAACCTAAAGAGACATGAGCAGAACATGCAACATACAGAAGTCAGTGCAAGTAAATAGATACTAAAATCAGTGTTGGAAAGTATCTGAATACATGGACCGAAATACATATTCTGAATACAAATTTTGAGTACCGTATTTTTCAGACTATAAGGTGCACCAGATTATAAGGCGCAATATCAGTAATGTTGACTTCTCTCGCCTATTTTCATACATAAGGTGCACCGGATTATAAGGCGCATTAAGCAAAACATACGGACGACACTTGAGACTGATCCCTTAGCCCAAGCGTCCACGATCCATTGGCAGATCGTGGTGTAACTCGCCTGGCGTCGCCTCTCTGTCTTGGTGAATATAAATTACGTTTGCGGGCGGGAGTGGGACTGCACAATGGAGGAGTGCGCGGGGGGGGAATGATAAACTGCAGTCCCACAAACTAAATATGAGTGTAAAGTAAAATACACAAATGATTAATGTATGCCTGTCATACAGAATTTATGTGGTCTAATCTCGCACACATTTTGGACAATCTGATAGAGCTTAAGAAAGCGAACGACAAAATATCACAGTTGTGGGCAGGAGTGGGAATGAAAATTATAATTCTTTGCGTGGCTGAAAATTCTGTCCTGCACAGACTTCTACTTCGTAGCTTACCAAAGTCATAACTAAAACATTTTGGCAGATTTCTGAGCGCCATGTACCACATAAAATCGATTCAGAGGTCAGTAAACACAAACAGAATTAATACATAAGGTGTACTGTTGATTTTTAAGAAAATTTAAGGATTTTAAGTGCTGCTTATAGTCCAAAAAATACGGTAACTGTATTACGGTCCAATTACAGTGTTTCACGGGTACCATCATTTTTGTCCAATCCAGTTTCATTATTTTGTTTTTTGAAAATAATTCTATTGAACAACAATTCAAAAACAGTGTCTGATTTTCACTTGGCTATTTTTCAGGAATTTTTTTTATTTATTATTGCCTTTCTCAGTTTCAAGTTATTTCAGTGGCCATTGTTGATGTTGAGGGGTACCAACGATTTTGCCCACGTCTGTATATAAAAATATCTCAAAATAAACTTTGTTAAGCTTAAATCATTTCAACTCGATTATATGAGTTTGGAGATAGTTTGGCACACAAATCGAAATGGTGATCAAAATTCAATTAATTGCACAGACTTAAATTAAGATATACTTTTTTTCTCTCTGTAATTGAAAAAAAAGTGAATCTAAAAATGATCAGGTTCAATATTGTGGGATTTTCTAAAACAGAAATTATACAGAAATTTAATATAGACCAATATGTCTATCGCTCCTAAAAAAAAATCACACCTTTTTTCACAAGAGAGATGTACATTTCTTGTTGAGTATCTTATTGTTTTCTATGTTCTTTTAATAGTTGTCACTGTGTTTGTATTCTGTATTACGTTATACTGCAATTGTCCTTATCTATCCTGTGTTTGTGTACAGCACTTTGTCCAGCTGTCAAGTTTTATAAAAGTGATTTATAAATAAATTTGGTACGTTATGGTCTAAACAAGACTAATATGTCACGCAGTATTTACCGTGTGGAGCAAACTCTTGTCTTCGTAGTGCTGTGTGACCGCTCGGCTTTCCTTGATGAACTGGTCACTCCTCCGCTCTCTCTCCCTCTCCTTTTCCCTCTCCCTCTCTGCGTCCAGGTCCAGTCCGGCTCGGGGGGTCCCACAGCGGAGCCCCCTTTGACACATGGTCTCAGGAGAACAGCTCAGCAGCAGCACTAGACTGGGCTCTCCCATCTGAAACAGAGAGACGTGAACACATGCATTCAAAGTACTGTTAAAGGACCTGTATTACAAAAAACACACAAAATATCTGCTGTTGTGTTTTGTTTCATGTGTGTTAAACTTGTGTTAATGAAACAAAAGGAGGATAATGAAACAGCATCATAACATAACAGAAAACAGTGTAATATGGGCCCTTAAATCACATTCTATTGTCTAAAGAACATGATTGACAGGTGAATTAACCAATCAGAGAGATGCATGGTCAGTTTGCGTCAAAACAAATATGGCAGCTACAACAACTACAAATACAACAACATAAGAGGACTGAGAAACAGTGTGGATTTCTGCTGAATCCACAATTGAATCACGAACACACAGTGAACTATCTCATGTAAAAGAAGAGTCCTGATTGGCAGCCCCATTACCCAAACAGAAAACAGAGAATACAACTGCACAGTCCATCGCTATGGCACAAATGACATGACCAAACTCAGCATTGTGAGTCCAACACAAGTTTCTCTGCCTTCATTATTCAACTGTATCTCGACCCGAAAGCCTTGACACGGCAGAGCTCAGCGCCAAACATTAATAAGGGTGAAATTCATAACTCAGTTCTCATGGGATCAGCACATTTCTGCCCTGCACAGGATGAACAACCACCTCATAGACGCCAAGTTACTTCAGCCTAATTTTATGAAGGATAAAAAGGCTAAAGACAGGAATTCCTGTCCTGAGGTCAATACCAGAAAGCGTAGACCGAAGCCAAGGAGTGCTTCTGTTCCAAGACGATGTTCTGGACTCACAAAGGTCCATGTGACCAAATCTGAAGCCAAAATCCAGGAGACACAACAGTTCTTCAACCCTCAGTCTGACTTTCCTGCTCTCATGAAGAGAACAACCAACAGAGGAAAAGATACTAGACCTCCTCATTGCAAAGACACAACCTAAAAAAAACAACTTTGCCATGGTCCACAGAGGCAACATCTCTAATGTGATCCACATTCAGCCTCTACAGTGAAGTCTCTGAAGACTTCTGAGGCTAAAGCTGCAGCAGCCGTGCAGCCCATTAGGGAGAAGCACATCCTCCCTGACAATTCTCACGAGGAGGCCATCAACATCTTTATAAAACAGAGCAAACGAAGCCAGGCACTTTTGTACATTTATAAACTCATTGCTGTGAGTAATTAGGACGCTCTGATTGCATAAGGTAAGTGAGGAATAACTCTGGAGCACTGCAAACAGTCTAAAATTAACTAGTTGTGTTTTTCACTCCCCTCCTCTTCCTCCTCTTCCTCCCCTCTTCTTCACCTGCAGCTCACAGTCTCTGAGTGGCATGTTTTCCTCTCCTCTGTCAACCCTGTTAAATTGTGTTTTGATCTTGAACACGTGTGGAGATTTTCACTGTACAAATGTGGGTGCACTGCAAAAATCACTTACCCACGGTGTAAAAAACACTTGAATTCACTCTGTAACATTTCAGGCAAGGTGTCCTTTTATTCTTTCTTAAATTACAGGTGTTTTAATTGCTAAAAATGACTTTGAAATCACACATTCACACTGTGAGCAGGCTTGACTCTTCACAGATGTTGGAACTACAAGACATCTGCTGATTTGTGCTTTTAAACACGTCTCTCAGACATAAAATTAGAGTCAAGAGTCAGTTAACATTAACCAACAGTTCAGTTAGTCACTCTCACCTTTTTGTTGAAAATCAAACTCCTCAACAGGACATACTGATCACAGGCTCCTGAAAATGTGCTGTTTAAATCCATTTTGTATTTTTTTTCTTGAGTTTTCAGTCTATCTTAAAGCGTTTTTGTCAGTTTACGGTTTGCTCATGTGTGTATTGTGTTTCCATATCGACAGCTGAACATTCTACCATACAGATACATGTAGAAAACCCCCAGCATTCAGACAGAGGAGTGTCTACAGTTAGCTTCACATCTAAAGGGAATGTTGATGAGATTAGCTGCACAGTATCAATAACAGAGTGTGTTTTTGTCTATATAACTGTGTGTATGTGTGTGTACGTGTGGGTGTTTTGTGCTCATAGATCTATTAAAATAACTGGATAGGGTGTTGCTGCTTGTAGCTCCCTCCAGCTGACGTAGTGACACTCACTGGTCTTCAGCGGAAAAAATCCCTCCGGCCAAGAAAGGATTTTTCTCATAGAGCAATGTAATCACAAACATCTCGAGTTCGGCTCACAGGGCACCTACAACTTAAAAAAAATGTCGGATTTCGTGGCAATTTTTACCTATTTTTAGATCATAAACTTTTTCTCAGCCCACCGAAGAAAAGAGCACTACTGCACATGCTCGGTCAGCCCACAGCCACCGAAAGTACCTCGCCGGGCTAAAGGCGAATCTGGAGTCATGCGCCACTGAGCTCGGCCCACTGACTTGAATGGGCGGCCATTTTGAAACTCCGGGGTTTGGTTCACCTTGTCGGCGTAGCTCTGGGCCTGTCTCACGTCTCGAGGAAATCCACTGATCACCAGACTCCTCCCCATCCGCACCGAAGAGGCCGCCGCTTCACTCAGGAGCTCCACCAGACAGTCCTACAAACACACACAGGTATAACGACGATCAATGTAAGGCTATGTTCAGTTCGGATTTTTTTTTTGTGAAATCAGATTTTTTTGCGAGGTCGTTCACATTTTCAACTTAAATGTGACTTGTATGTGATCTCCAGTGTGAACTTTAAATGCCCGCATGTGCATTGGAGGACACAAAGTCGCCTAAACATGGACGTTGCATTGAGCACTTGGAGATTTTAAAGTTGCGGTCGTACCGGAGCCAGAACATGCACAGATTATTTGTTTTAAAGAGGAGATGGACAAGGTTTTTGGTGTTTGGCGTTTTGTGGGGCAGTGGCAGCAGTGTTCGTAGAAAGGGACGTGTGGGTGCAGAGTCACAGCTGAGAGTGGAGGGACTGATTTGTGCTTCACTGCTTCACTGACACAGAGTTCACACAATTTCCGTATGACGAGAAGAACGTTTGTGTACATTCATGACGTGTAGGTGGGATGAACGTGACCTGGCCGTTTAGACTGAAGTCGCATGTCAAAAGATCGGATATGTATCAGGTTTTAGGAGCACATATCCAAGTGTCCTGGGTCACATGTGAAAAAATCTGATCTGTGTCATTCAGACTGTCATTAAAAGATCAGATACAGGTCGCAAAAATTGGATTTGGTCACTTCAGGCTGCAGTCTGAACGTAGCTTAAGACTTCAAGTACAATATTACTGTTATACTGAGGTGGGTACTACTCAGCTGCATTTACTCTGTAACTGTGACTTGAGAAGTTATATTTTTTCTAGCTGCATACTTTTATTCCTACATGAGTAATATTTTTATTGAAGTGATGGTACTATTATTTGAGTAAAAGTTGTGGTCACTTCATATTACATTAACGTCAAATTACACATCAGATGTTACTCTTTAAGTTACTCTTTACTCGAGTAGTTACTTGGTCCTTATCAGTTGTGTTTATCAATCGATATCACTGGTTCACATTGAGCAGTAAAATACAACAGTAACAGAAAAGCTTCAACAAAAGTCTAAGTGCAGTTCAACGGGTAGAGTCATCAGATCCAGTGTCAGGGCAGTTTGAGGTCAGTAACAACCCTCAGGACAAAAGTGTCCCTGCTCTGTGTGCTCTGTGTCCTGTAGCGTCGTAGGGATTTATGCTGATAACATCCTAACAACATCTCGTTTATTCATCATGTGATTGGTGACTGGTACAGACTCTTATAAACAGGGTCACGCCTGCGGATTACACACCTGCCCTGATGAAGAAGAGTTATAGAAACACTGCAGATCAGAGCCAATGTCATCCTTCTTTGACAATCCAAGCCCACTGGTACAATGAGCACCTGTCTGTGTAAGTTTTGATCCAGTGTGGCACTTCAGGGTCCATGTTGCTTTCATTCATTTGATTTTCAATTTAAAAAAAACTAAAATCATTTGACTTTCTATTTTTGTTTTTTTTGTTCATGGAAGGAAAAAACACAACAACAATTGAGCAATTTTTCATTTTGATCTTCAGTTTGGAAACACAACAGTCAAAACAAGTAAATGGAGCGAGGGGCCCGGGCACACGGTGAGGCAAAACCACGGGCAGGAGAAGGGACCTGCACCAGTGCCCATAACCGAGAGGTGATCACTAATGTGGGTCCGAGTTGGCTTCAGGACACTGGAACGCTTCACACTTTTGCATTTTGTAAAGTGAATAAAGCTGTTCTCTAAATCCTGTCTAGAATTTGGCATTTTCAAATTCAAGACCAAAATGTTAAATGAAAAATCAGATTATTTGTGTATGTGTTTTTTTTTTTTCATGAACAAAAACGAAAAATGGAGTAGTTTTTTTTTTGTTTAAATTGATAAGCAAATGAACAAAGGATACACCAACACTGCTCTTTCTAAACTAAACGTGTGCAGTTGTTCGTAGAGTCAACTCCCCTTGTTCAGCCGCGCATGAACACAGATGACATTGATTAATCCTGTTACCTGAGGCTCATGTCTAAACATCACAGAACCTGGTCTAAATCCACTTCTTCTTCAGACCCTGAGCTCAGAGCGAGAGTGAGAGAGCAGCACGTTTACAAAGCGCACAGAGAGATTGTGGCACTTCAGGGATTTTACGCTGTCGATAGTGATGAATGAAAGACAGTTTAGACCAGAGGGGAAAAGGAAAATCTATATATTTCAGAGGCTACTTCTTTATTACAGTATTTATAGAAGTAGAATTTTATGGTTGGTTTACATTCTTTTCACTGCGGTTTATAAAAAGCAAGACAATGAAACTAGATACTTATTTAACGTTTTCATTGGTTTCATGGTTTGGGAGCGTCTCTGCTAAAAACAAGAACTCCCTGAATCAGTTGGTTAAATGAGCGAGTGAGGCGACTGTCCATCCTCAGAGCCGCCTGGTACGGAAGTAGAGAGATGTCAAAACAAAACGCAAACGCCGCAACGAATACAAATGCGACAACAAAAAGCCACAACACAACAAAAAAAGCCACAATGGAAATGACCGCGGGACTCTAGTTTAATGCAAACGCCGCAACAAATACAAACGCCACAACACAAACGCAAATGCCGCAACACATTAAAAGCCACAAACACTTTAAAAGCCACAACACATTAAAAAGCCGCAACACGTTAAAAAGCCACAACACATTAAAAAGCCACAACACATTAAAAAGCCACAATTGAAATGACCGCGGGGCTCTAGTTTAATGCAAAGCCGCAACACATTAAAAAGCCACAACACTTTAAAAAGCCACAACACATAAAAAAGCCACAACGGAAGTGACTGTGGGACTCTATTTTCCGACGGACCGATCAAGCGGCATGTGAAGAAGAAGAACTACAATGTGAAAAGTAAAGGAACGGAAAAGTTGGAAACGTAAATAAAAGTAATTTATTGTTTTATCATTATTCGTGTCACGTTGTAGTTCTTCTTCTTCACTTGCCGCTTGATCGGTCCGTCGGAAAATAGAGTCTCGCGGTCACTTCCGTTGTGGCTTTTTAATGTGTTGTGGCTTTTTAATGTGTTGTGGCTTTTTAATGTATTGTGGCTTTTTAATGTGTTGTGGCTTTTTAATGTGTTGTGGCTTTTTAAAGTGTTGTGGCTTTTTAATATGTTGTGGCTTTTTAATGTGTTGTGGCTTTTTAATATGTTGTGGCTTTTTAATGTGTTGTGGCTTTTTAATGTATTGTGGCTTTTTAATGTGTTGTGGCTTTTTAAAGTGTTGCGGCATTTGTATTTGTTGCAGCGTTTGCATGAAAATAGAGTCCCGCAGTCATTTCTGCTGTGGCTTTTTCGTGTGTTGTGGCTTTTTTTGGTTGTGGCTTTTTGTTGTGTTGTCACATTTGTATTTGTTGCGGCGTTTGCGTTCGTTGTGACCCCTCTCAGCTTCCGTAGCCTGGACTCTCTGTACTCAAGACACTTACAGAAAATGTCCCAGAGTATTTTAAAAGACGTGCAACATCCACTAAATTCAGAGTTTCGGGTTCTTCCGTCGGGTCTGAGGCTTTTAGTCCCAAGATCAAGAACGAATCATTTTAAAAGAAGCTTTGTTCCAGCTTCTATTATACTTGTAATCTATTTATCGATCAATTTTAGTACATGTTGTCTTGGAAAAATTGTGTGGGTGTTTTTAAATATTTAATATTTATTGTATTTTAGGCAAGTGTGATGAATGAATTTAACTTATTGTTTATGGAACAAACCATTCTGCACTGGAGCACTGTGACACTTCATTTTGTAACTGTGTTTTTATACGTGTTTCTTGGACATAATGTGGATTGTTAAATACTTAGTTGTCCTTAATTGACTTCGTGACCCACATTTGGGGTGTGGGTGTGGTTACGTACCGGTGTGCAATCTCAATAAATGGCAGCAGCTCACTTCCATTGAGTAAGTGCATGCAGGCCAAACCAAGTCTATGTCGTTGCTTTTTATTTTGTCCTCCAAATTTATCCGGCTATACTTTCTCTTACCGCGATGCCTGCGCCAACATGGATGAATACAATGTGAAATGAGGGACCTGCCTCTTAAATCTGCAAAACAAATCTACCTACGAGTACGAATAAAGCAACCTAACCTAACCTTATTTGAGTTATTTATTTTATCTTTTGGTTAGAAATGCATGTCTGTGTAAAATAATAGATAAAAGTCGGTCTTATTCTGATACATGAGTGGCTGAATTTCAGGACCACGGTCAGCTCCTCGTACAATTTTTCTTACCATACGCTTCATACACTTAATATAACTTTTCTGATGTAGGGTCAGTCATGGAGATGTTATTGCTTTGCCTGGAATGTTGCACAGTATGGCATTATAATCTATCTATTATGATCTAAATTGCAGTTATTCAAATTCAATCCAATAAGGGTAGTTTGGTCTTCTGATTTAATTAAACTTCAGATTTTTTGTACATCTATACATTTTCTTTCGCTTATCCGGGGTTGGGTCATGGGGGCAGCAATTTAAGCAGGGACTCCCAGACTTCCTTCACCCTGGACACTTCCTCCAGCTGCTCCATGGGGACCCCAAGGCGTTCCCAGGCCAGCCCAGAGACACAGTCCCTCCAACGTGTCCTAGGTCTTCCCAGGGGTCTCGTTTCTTTGTACAAACCTCTGTTTATCTCATAACTTGACGGTTTTCCTCTTCATTGTCACATGGTGTTGCTGTGATGCATCTGCTTAGATCATTTAAACAGATTCTGGTGCAAAATTTACTCTTTAAGTCATGTTATAATGCTCTTTTCTCCTAAAAAACAAACCCGGAGTTGTGTTTTGTTTCATCCCTAAAAGTCCCATACCACTCTAAATAACTATTGCTAACACATGTAGTGATAGAGTTGAGGAAAATGTATTTTTGGGGAGTTATAATAAATGAGAAAATGTCGTGGAAACCTCATATAACTTACTCGCGGACAAAAGTTACTACAGTAAATGTGTGGGAGTGATGAGAAGATCAAGTCATTTACTGAACCAGAATGAACTACTGTTATTGTATCGTTCATTTATTATGTCTTATTTAAATG